TCTCTCTCTCTCTGTATTATCATGCCGAGGGATACACGTTAAATAATCCCTTCTCCAAAAATATTAGACACAGTTAGGTCAAATGAATGTCAACGATTAGATGTGTATACAAAGGAGTAACATACAAATAAAAGAAAGAAGAGAGATAAGGACAATGGGTATTTGATAGGAAAAAGGGAGAAACCACAGCAGAGCACCCTCAAACCACAGCCACCCGTTGTGTTTCTTTGTTTAACTTGTTGAACAAGTGGAGCGTGGCTGCATTCTTTGACCTTTTCTCGCTTGATTCAACTTCATTATTCAAAAATTTAAAACCAAATAAATCGAAACTGCTAGTGATCTGTTTTTTTAAGTGATAAGGACGCTTTTATTTTGTTATTTGGATTCATGGAAATCACCAGTTTCCTATTTGTTTCTGTTTATCACCATGGCGAATCGTTCCTCATTTTCTGATTATTTTTTAAAAAGTGTTTTACGGCGCTCGCAACAGCATAATAAGGTCATATGAGAGCGCGGGACACATTTAACATTTTCAGCAGGAAGGAGATTTTGAATTTTGTTCGGGTGGCTGCCGAAGCCTACTCTTATCAATTTTGGACCACCAAGGGATCTTTGACCTGTGCAACTTGCATCCGAGATTTTTTGCCCTTGTCCAAGAAGGCTAGATGCAGATCTTTCATAAGATCAAGGATGTGGCTGAAAGACAGCAGTAAGAAGGAGCCAAGCAGTAGCAGAAGAAAGGCTGCAGAAAGAGTCAGGAGCCCAGAGGAGGGGCAAAGGAGGTGAAGGGGGTGGGAGGCGGGGCAAAAAGTGGAGACGAAAGCAGACGACAGAATATTGCTAGAGAGCAGAAAAAGGGGTGAAAGAAGACAATTCTAGAGACGAAAAATTACCGTCGCTGTCCGAGCTCGAATCCGGGACCTATTGAATGAGAAGCGAACACCTTAACCTCTAGACCACGAGAGCACCCTTTCTAATTTCCCTCGAGGTGTGATTAACTTAAAGATGTATTGTTTGCGAGGGCATTCTCTTCATACCCCCCCCCCCTTTTTTT